AATAGTTCTGAGGTTATTGTGATGTCACATTATGCCTGACCGGAGATGGATACAACGGACAGTGCACGAATCTGGTCGGACAAACGGACAAGTAATTCTGAGGTTACAAGCAGATATTTAGGCAACCGCAGTCGCCAAACGGAAAAAGTGGTCGATCTCCATAGATTACGTTGTGCATGGGTTGCGCACGTCACCAAATAGGTTACCACGGCGAGTGATGTTTGCCGATGCACGTTTTGAGTGGAAAGACGTCAAGAGTAGTCAAAATAAGACCTGGCACGAAGGTATCAAGAACCCGTACCGGGAGACTCCGTCAACTGGGTCACGGTAGGCTCTCTATATGAGGATGCCGGGATGATTGTAGTCAATGGTTAGATACACTGACTGATATGATATGACCAAGTGTCGTAAACAGTGGAGTTCGTGCATCTTCTCAATTTATTTGCAACCACCAAAATTCTGCTTTTTCTCTTCTAATCCATTTTCAAATGTCTTGCCTTTCTCCTACTGCTTCATCCAAATGGGCAGGCAAAACCTGCTCACGAAAGTGTATGATCAATAGTTATACGGGCTGAAACAAAAACATGCTCATAGAATCACGTTACCAATTGGGACAGTATCCCAGCATTACAAATCGTCTGTTCTCACGAATCCTCAAATACGCTTCGGCTTTATAGACTTGTGCATGTTTTTCTGCACCGAGCCCGGACTATGCTATGCCAATTCGAGCTCCTTTTTCACTTTTCGGATTAGATGGTCTCATTAATCACAATGTAATGCCTCTTGTGTATCAAACGGTAGTAAATAAATTGAGTTGTGCGTTTCTTGATCGATATTTTAATGAATTGGTTCTGTTTGTTGAGGTTAAGTGGTATGAAAAAGAAAGATGAATCTGTAATCGATCAACTTTTCATCCTTTTTTTACTTTAGGGTCGTGTTAAAGATGCGGAACACAAAGGAATTATACCACGAATCATTGAGGATATCTTTTTGCATATAGAAAAAATGGATGACAATTTGGAGTTTCTCATCAAGGTACTGACACACCGGTGGCCTCGATGTCATCAAACCATCCATACAGGTTTCATATTTTGAACTGTATATGGAGAAAATCAAGGATTTATTGGATAGTCAGTTCATTACCTGTTTTGACTTTTAATCTTTGATTTAAAGTTTCCAAAACTAATCTTCCGATTCACGAAACCAAGGACCGGATGGCGTATGTGAAAGTGAGTTGATCTAATGCTGTTTGGAGTTCCTTTCGATTTTATCTACTAAGAGCCACACAGTAAACTGAACGAAATCAGTCAGCTCTAAAATAAGCCACTTTCGTTGTCCCCTTAGGTCCATAGCCATGTTATTTTACTGTTTCATCATACTGTGTATGCGTTTATTTTATTTTAAATGGTATGAAGCGGGTTTTCAGGTTTTTACGGTACCTTGAACCCGGGTGGTTCTGATGTACGTACATTGTATGTACGTTGTCTGTCTGTCTGTCTGTCTGTCTGTCTGTCTGTCTGTCTGTCTGTCTGTCTGTCTGTCCACTCCATGCACTTAGTTGTATGTGCATTGATGTGTTCCCTTGCTATATCACAGACTGCGGTTGCACAATTCACGGCCAAACAATTACAAATCCCAGGATTCATATTTACATTTTGTAGAATGTCATGAGTCATTAAAATTCGATAGATTGAACTCAAGTGACCAAATCAACATTTCGAAACAATCAACGGTTTTAGTGGTAACTTACCAGTGAAAAATAGCCACTCACCGATCGGGAGAGTATATTCTCCACCAAAAATCTGTAACGTGTAGTGCAAAAATGTGAAAACAGAAAACATTTAATCAGACTATACAATCCAATATAATCCATGGAAATTTGTGGATCATACATCATGCTTTTCGATGACGATTGAATGGGTGTGTCCCTTTGCCATCCGACCGTGTACATTGAAATTTAATTTCATCTATCGGGATTGGTCTGTATTCTTCCCGTGAGATAAACTGTACAGTTGTTTCTTTCTACTAACACGTTATTAGCGCCACACAGTGATTAAAGAGATGTTTACAATCGCATTGAATGAAAATGCAAACATGACAACAGTCAATACTTAAGTTGCTTTTTTGTCTTGGTCACTCATCAAATTATGTTGGTCTGTTCTTTGTGCTTAGATGCTATGGCTCTCTTGACCATTCAATGGGGACCAAGTGATGAAGACGAAATGCTTTCTCCGCACCTGCTTCATAGTTATAGAGTCAGGCACCAGTGAACAGGATTAGCTGAACACATTTGACCAGTTAACTGATTGTTACAAAACAAGACATCCAGAAAAAAACTGCAATCAGATATTCATTTTACTCCCCAAGCGTGAGTTGGTTGACCGTACCAGTTGGATTACAACCGTTGGATTTGCACTACTGAGCGAGCACTGGGCACGAATTCGAGTCTGGGGTAGTGCATGATTGACCGATTGAACTGGGTTTTGTGCATGAAGACTTATTGCTGGTCAGTCAAATAAAAAATATTAAAAAATATCAAGTAAAAATGTGAAGTAAACCATGAAATCGGTTAATGGTCTATCAATTTCCGGTTGCAGAGAAATCGAGCGAGTTAGAGCCCAGTTAGGGAATTTTAATCCGTATATCTTGCACATAAATGCTGATAACAATCTTCGGAGAGATTGGGTCAGGGGCGACATCCATACGTTTTATTAGATCATTACAATATCACCTAAACTAATTCGCGAAAACATGTCACTTTTTGCTGAATGCCGAAAACGGAGGGAGGGGGGGGGGCTACACGAGTAAAACCGACGTAAGTA